TTTTGCGGTTCTTTTTCTACAGTACCTCGACGTGACATGAGCGTGAAAGAGGTTCAAGAATCCGTTTTCTTTTTATAAGGGCTAAAAATGAATCACTTATTTTTTTTTGTCTTTTTGGCCCCATCGGCAACGACGCGACCATGGACCCTGGCTTCCTCGACCCCTCGCGCAAGATGCCGGTCACCGGCATCGAGATACGCCGGGACTGCCGGTTCCCAAACTAGTTGCTACTTAATCTCGCCGGCAGTGCTGCCGCGACGTATTGAAACGAATATGAAGCAAATAAATGCAGTCCGTGCGCAAGTTGACAAGCTGCCACATAAAATTTTCATTGGTTTGACATAAGTTCGACATAACATAACCAACTAAGCCTGCAAGTTTCGGACGCCAATATTCGTTCGACCTAACAAAGTAAGACCCAGGAGTGTAATGATCCCTCGGACACCTCTGTCTCTTCAGATTTGTTGTCAACACATTGGGAGTGTAGCCAACGTCGGTGTGGTCACGTCGCCGGTGCGTACGGCTCGTACCCTGCAAGTATATATGCACAATTACTTATAATCTTTATGATCGTTAGTTTATGAAGCCTACGTATTTAAAGAAACTACCTTTGTTAGTACATGTGAGGCTCCTTGGGTACGAAGCGGGGCACCACCTAGCTGAGACATGCCGATCTCGTCCTACGGCCAATCGTCCCACTGGCCGTGCTGTCTGCGGAAGCCCGGGGGGTCATCGTCCTCAGTTGTAGGGTCCTTCCCAGCGCTATGATGTGGTGGTGTACGCACTGCGGAAGTGGCACCTGTCACCGGCTGAGAAGAGCCGGCTGGTGTCCTCAAAGAGGCTGAAGACGTGCCACCCGACCGCGCCGGAAGTGGCGGTTCCATATAAGGAGTGTCCATGCATCTCAGTTTTTGAGCTAGCTTCCTGCAGCTCTTCTTCACCTTCTGCATAAATAGACGTTAAAGTTAGTGTATTTTCCAAACGCATATACACTAAAGAAACATTTTCGGAATGGACAAGTTTATGTTTACCTCCACAAAAGCCTCGAGAACGCTTGGCCCCCGCCCTCTAGACTCGTGAAGCCGGAACGCTGCTTCGTTGGACATCCTTGACAATTGTGTCGCCTGGGTACAGAAACGCGGTTGGACAGTTTTAGTACACATACTTAATACCAAAAGGATAACAAATTGTACCATTCAAGTATCTTACCATGTATTTTTGAAGCGGGGCTCTCTGTAGCTGTGTGTCCTCCCTAGTGGCAACGTCGTACACATCTTCGATCACATCTTCCTCCGAGTCCTCGTCAATCGCCTCCTCAGTGTATGGGGGCTTGATATGTGTCCTCGTAGACCTGTGAAGCCACCGTAGGTACTTGTCGAAGATGTGCTGGTCATGTGGAGGACCCGTATGGACCGGCTACCGTTCCCTGGTCTCCCACAAGTGGATGTGCGCGTTGTGTGTCACGCGCCAATCCTTGGTCTTGTACCTATTCCTGCGGTCATACCTGCAACAAAACGATGTTAGTTGTATCACACACACCTCTGAATTGTAGCTTTGTTATTAATCGATAACGCACCCGTGCAATCCTTGGTTGGTGGAGTAAAGCGGTGGTGGACAGCCTGTCATTCTTCCAAACTGTCTGCAGACCCTGATGGGCAAGTGAATCTCGACCACGTGGAAGAAAATAAGAGGGACGTTGCAGCGATACTCGTCTGACTCGTCCCTAGTGATAGGACTGAGATAGTACTGGAGCTCCGGAGCATCCCAAGGACACCAAAGCACCTGAACATTTTTTAATCGAGTTAGGTTGTGATATAGTGTACATCGAACAAGACACATGTATGATAGTAAAGAGAGCATAACCTGGTGCTGTGTCAGGAAGTCGAGACCGTCCGTGTACTCCCTGTACTTGCGCCTCGCATTCCCTCTAACTAACTCTGCTTCCGTCCAGATATACAGAGCTGTAGGGAGTGTATCATGCCTGTTCCATTGCTGCATTGAACACGATAATGAATTAGCCATTAATAATCTCATCATATGTAACTGCCTCGAAGAATATAATAAACCAAAGTACTTACCGGTAAATTAGTATTAAGTGGCCTCTCAACGGGCCATCGTTCCCAACACCAAACCTGGAGTAGGTAGGAGCACCCCCAAGGTTCGCATACCCTGAGGTGCGACGGCAGGGAACGCATAGCTGTCGATATGTCTATGCCAGGACAGCGCTGCCTCAGCTATACGCCGCTATGTTCTCCCACGGCTGGCGTAGTATGTCAAGGAAGATCCAGCTGATGGTGTTACCGGAGGCGTCTAGAAAGAGGAAAGCACTAAGGAAGTGCCAGAGGCACACTCTAGCGAACCTGTAGATCTGAGCCTCCTCAGCTTGTGGGTCCAAGTAATCAAAGCGCTCTGTGATCCAGGACGACGAAACTCCAGAACTTTTCCTAAAATTCGCCAAAGAAAATGAGACCCGATGGCTGCAGGAAAGTAATGCAAGTATTAAATAGGCTTGAATTGCTCACTTATTTTTCTTTAAAACCTCGTCGTCCGGTGGAAGAAAGCCAGTGAACTGAGCCACCAGCTCCCTCTAGTGATCGTTGTCAACTATACCCGTCACTAGAAGTCCTCCCAACCGAAGGCCAAAGATAGCCGTCACGTCCTGCATGGTCAAGATCATATCGCCGTAAGGTAGGTGGAACGTGTGGATCTCAGGCCTCCACCTATTATAAGAATAGAACGACTGTTAGTTGACTAAAATTTGTTATAAGAATATTTACGTACAAAGAAGGCACTCGCACCTGTCTACAGCTGCAATAAGTAGTGCTGGGTCAAGAGGCGGAAGACCGTAATTGACAACACGGACAAGCTCAAGGAAGCCAGCACGCCGTATATACGGTGCGTAACGCTCGTCCCACTGGTGCGCCCTGGTGTGTGTGTGGGGCCTCAAAGTAGGCAAGACCACCTGTGCGTCGGTGTCACTCAAGATGTGTACTCGGTGCTGGTCGTCGTACTCCACCTCAAGAATAGGGTACAACGGGTGCTGCGTGGGAGGGGCCATCCTGTTACAAATTAATAAACAAAGTGTTAGAGTATTCAAATTAACATTATATATCATTGCAAAATTTGAAATACTTGTTATGCAATACGAATACAATATGAAAGCACATGTATATATTCAAAGTAACATTAACATACATATTAAATAACTTCACTATAAAAATAAGCATTTGACGAAACTTCATCAAGTCATCCAAATCGCCGTATCACGCACTACTAAGTACCGACAATCAATCCCTAAATCCAAAATCCTAACTAACAATAACCTAAACCCTAACTACCTAACCAAAACTACCTAACCTAGACCCAAAATCAATCCCTAAACCCAAAATCTTAACTAACAGTAACCTAAACCCTAACTACCTAACCAAACCTTAACTATCCTAAATCACTGACAAATTCTAAATCACCATCCTAACAAATTCTAAATCACTATCCTAAATCACTAACAAATCCTAACAAATTCACTAACCTAACTATCCTAAATCACTAACCCTAACTAAAATAACAATCATAATAACATAAAATCGAGAAAGCCTACCTTGATATGATGGGCGCCAGTGGCGGCGTGCCGTGACGCCGACGTTACGTGGTATGGCCGAGTGGGTAGGGCGGGCAAGCAGCGTGTAGGCGTGCGGCTCTCTGTGGCGTCTTGGGGGTGAGCGGGCATGATGTGGTGGTCATCAGATTGAGCATGCGGCGTGGCAGTGCGCTGGTATGACGGCAGCGACGGCAACGGCGCAGGCGGCGGGCAGGAGGCGAGGCGGGGCGGCTCGGGGGTAGGGGCGGCTCGCGGACGATATTTATCTGATTCTGCCGCGCCATGAGCCGTGGCGCGTCACTGCCGCGCCAAGATCGGTGGCGCGGCCGAACCTGCCACGTCACTGGTCAGCGGCCCCGGTCTTTGCCACGTCAGCCTTCCACCGCGCCACCATGTATGACGCGGCACAAGCATTTCGCCGCGTCATGACAATAGGCGCGGCCAAAAGTGTTTATTTTGAAAAAAAACAGTGTTAGATTTAAAATTAGTTTAAAAAGTGTTAAAATAAAAAAAATTCTTCATAGCAGTGCGCTAACTGGGAGCAAATTACGGGGGAAATTTTGCCTAGGACAATCAGCTGCTTGCATGCGCCTCCAGCTTTGTCCGCCTGCCGCGCTCGCTGAATCCAAGTGAAGCCCACCGACTTCGAGATAGGCCTCTATGGTCTATGGCACTACTACTATAGCTTTCATATATATCCTGACGAGTGACGACATTGCCAGTGACTGCTCACTGAAACCAACTTGCCTAACTTCAAGACTCGATCAGGATCAGGACCGGTGCATCACATCATGCAGCACACCGTCCGGTTAATACCGGATGCGTCTACTAAGTACGTACACTACAACTTGCATTGATCCGCCTAACTTTGCCTAACGCGAAATGAAGCCATGGACGAAGCAGCCAGGCCTGTATATATCTCGAACTTCCTACATGGCCAGATGAGCCAGCCAGCCAAAGCACCCCTTCACCTCTGTGCGCGCACGGTGACGAGACACCGGACCGACGGACGCGACAGGGGAGCTGGGAACAGCTGATCACACCGCGCGCCATCCCCGGCACGCCGGCCGGCCACAGTTCATATCGATCTCTTCCGGCAGGCGTGCAGCTTCAGCGCACACCACCGTCATCACAACCACTCCTCGCACTAACCCAACCAGCAAAGGTCGTCGCCGCCTTTTTGGCACAGTACCACGCACCACCGCTCCATGATCGCTGCTCCCCAACCACGCTCGCCCACACCCACATGATCGCGCGCGCTTTGCGGTACGTCTCGCGGCCAAAGCTGTCGTCCCCGTCGCGTCCCGTTCCTCTTGGCGCCGCATGCGCGCCGGCTCCTATATAAAGCGAGCTAGCTAGCCGGAGTGTCCGAGTGCGTGTGGTGGTCAGCGGATCGAGCAGGATGGCAGTCGGCGGCAAGGGCGCAAGCGCTCTAGTGCTGGTGGCTTTGGTGTGCTCGCTGTCCTGCGGCCTTGCTGCTGCGCACGGCCGCGTGGCGAGGAAGAACCTGGGCATCGGCCTGGGCGGCGGCGGCGGCGGCGACGGGCAGGGGCTAGGCCTCGGGCTCGGCCTGGGGCTCGGCGTCGGGGCAGGCACCGGAGGAGTGTCCGTGTCCGGGTCTGGCTCTGGGTCCGCATCGGCGCCCGGGGTGGGGTCCACGTCCGGGTCCAGGTCCGGGTCCATATCCGTTGGAGGGGCCAGTTCGTCCGCCGGATCGAGCGCTGGATCGTCCGCGGGGTCGACTGGGTCCGGGGCCGGCTCCTCGGCGGGCTCTGGCGGTGGGCAAGGGTACGGGCAGGGTGGTGGGAGCGGGTCAGGGTCTGGGTATGGCGAGGGCAGTGGGTCTGGGAGTGGGTCGGGCGATGGGGTGGTGGGTATAGGGAATGGCCAGGGGTATGGTCATGGTTCTAGCTACGGTGGAAACCCTTGAAGTCACAAATGTTCTGGTTGTATCCGGCGGCCTGCAGTCTATTTTGTTCCATGATAGTAGAACATATCATGTTTCCTTTTCTGTGTGTCTTTTGTACTATGAACGGTGTGCGTAATAATTGAAATAGTTTGTGTTTGGCATTTCAAGTTTTTATTAGGTAGCTCACTGTCTTGTCTCAAAAAAAATTTTTGTGACTAGGAGATACTCCATCCGTCCAAAAAAAAAGTGATGTTCTAGGATTTTTCAGACAAATTAATGGAGACGAGAAATATTCCTAATACCCTTATAATATCACACACGATTCTCTTAAAAGAAGGGATGTCGCGTGGTGTACTATCTAATTAAGACGCGCTGAATGCAAACATGCAAAGATCCGAGGCAGGTAACAAACGATAGCGCGTCTCAATTGGTAATTTGGTGCTGAATTTGTGGGCCAATAGCGTGTCTAAAACTCATAACATCAATTTTTTTTGGGACAAATTTTAAATCACAGAAGATCACTTTTTTCTGGGATGGGGGAGTACATGTTTCCAGTTAAAGCATTTCTGGTTGTTTCATTTCTATATTGGGACGACTCAACGTACTACCTATCCGACTACATTCAGAACATAGGAATAGGGGACAAATATACTTCACCATTTATCTGGTGTAATTTGGACATGCGGTAGTCCCATGTGGTTTTGTTAACCGGTTAAATCCTCACACATTGGGTGGAATGGATGTGGGTACGATGTTCTTTTACACATGGCAACCATTATTTAGCCACGTTTCAGGCGACGGCTCGTCCGTCTGATCTTGTGCCGTAGACCCGTAGCTTGTGCTGGTGATGGTGCATTCTTTGTATTGGCCCGCTTTGCCTATCAGATCTTTATCCAAACACGCTATAGCTGTAGCAGGACACGGGATTCATCAGCTCCCTCGTTTTCGCCCTCGTCTAATTTTTTCAATCATCTTGTAATTTGTCCTCTTGTGATTTGTCAATTGTTTTTGTGTTACAACATATTATTTTTTTGTCCTTGTCTAACTATAGAAAAAAATTATTAATTGTTAATTGTTTTTATGTCAATATATATTAGATTTGTCACGTTTGTGATTTTGTCTATTGAGTTTTTTATTCTCGGATCCAAAAATTGCAGATTATGCCAACAAAAATTGCAACAAGCTAAAGCTACAATTTTAGCATAAAATATGTGTAATATCCGTCGCCTGAAAGAAACCTAAATTTCAGACACCTGAATTTTAGCAACTCCCTTATTTAGCCTATGAATGATGACGGCTAGCAAGATTTCCAAAATTTTGAATTATCCAAGGCTAACAAGTGTAACACTAGATTTCTAGTGGGCATTTCTTTTTTACCATCTCAATTGGGCGCCTTAGTAGTTGGATGAAAAATGTCATGCATACAAATACCATCTGCTGTTATGATCTTCTAGTTGTGGCTGCTCTTTTTATGTGCTGCATGTAGCATGTTATTGTGGCTACTTAGGGGCTGTTTGGTATGGCTCACAGTGCATCTCGTGGAGCTGTTTTGTTGCTCCCCAAACCAAACAGGTAAAAAGGCAACAGCTTCGACGAAAGATCCCCTTGTTTTGCGCGCTCACATGCCAATGCCGTGGGTTGGAGCCAGAAAATCGAGCTCCCACCGGCTCCCTATGACAACGCACGGGCCCGAACTCTTTTGCCCTGGCATGGGTGGGCAAGGCTATGCGGACGCGACGGCGAGATGAAGCGCGGACACGACGGCGAGGTGGAGGTGGAGGTGGAGCGCGAGCGTGACGGCGAGGTGGATGTGAAGCGTGAGCACGACGGGCGAGGCGGAGTGCCTGTGCACCGGCGTGGCTGTGCGTGTGCGCACCGGCGAGTAGCGCGGACCGCAGGAGCGTTCGGCACCGCTAGAGGTTGCAGCGGGAGGAGGAGAGAGAAATGGGCGAAGCGTTCGACGGCCGCGTTTGTGGTTACGATACGTTTGTTTGATTCTTAGGAGGAGAGAGAAACGGGAGGAGAAAATAAAAGAAGTAAGAGCATCTCCAGCGGTCCCCTTTCCTACTTCCAATGAGAAAAAACTATTATTTTAGAGATCTCGTAGCTCCAGCAATTCCTCAAATCCAACCCCAATGAGAAAAAAAATTCTTAGTCCCTCAAATCATAGTCTCCCACCCCTCAAATAAAGGGGAGATCTCTCCTCCCCCAATCTACTATTTTTCTTATTGGGGATTGGATTTTATCGTTATGCTAGAGAGAATACCTTCAAAATCTCAAAACACGTTTTGTATCTCCCCCAATGACTAGTTTTTGGGTTGGAGTTTTCTCCTACTGCTGGAGATGCTCTAAGAAAAGAGATAGGAAATAAAATAAAGAAAAAGAGAAAAAGGAAAAAAGGCATTATGGAGATTTTACCCTTTCTAACTACCAGGGTCAAACGGTCCAGAAAACAGATTAAGCTCCCCAAGTGAATCTGCTCCATCGATGAAGCCACAACTAAAACTATTTTGACCGGAGCCGGAGCTCTACCAAACAGACCTTAGCTTCGGTGCCACTCTATGAGGAGAGAAGGAATGAACCAGGTCTCACGGGGCATGATCTACCGCCACCTTGGCTCATAGGTCATAATTGCTTCCCTTCTCCGTGGTAGAGAAACTTGGCTAGACATTCATCATTGGGTACAAGTCATTCACGAAGTGCCCAATACACATACAAATGCAAATACATGATTTTTCTTACAGTGTGTAGATTAGATATTTTAGCGCTAATTTTTAGGAGTTACTAACAACCGGTTGTTTTTCTTAGTTGTATTTAATCACTTTCTATAACTTATAAAAAGCTAATTAGCTCACCCTCTCTAACAATTATAGCTTATATAAAAGAACTTTACTAGAGCCTGCGCGTGCAGGAAATCAAATTTCTAGATGCACACTCCATTTTATAAAATAAATTATTTTAGTTGTCAAAAAAAGAAAAAAAATGAACTCACCCCCGCCACCGGCCACCACACCGCCGCGGGCACTATGGTTCGCTGGAGCTCCGACAAACCCTAGCGCTCGCGGCGGCCGCCCTCTTCCTCTCTCCCTCCCACCGCCGCCATCTTCTCCAGCTCTGGCGAGCTCACCCGCCACCATCTTCTCTAGCTCTGGTGAGCCTCCCCCGCCATGACCTGGCCAGATCACCCCTACCGCCGCCAGATCCTCTAAGCTGTCCATCCACCACTCCCACCGCCTGGCCTTCCTACCTCCCCCCGGCCAGCCATTCTATACCCCGTCGGAGTTGGAGAAGATAATAAAGGGGAGCTCGCTGGAACCCTAGGTCAGAGATCAAGGAGGAGGAGGGAGAGAGGAGAGAGGAGAGAGGAGAAGGAGGCATACCTAGCACCGTCGCCGCCGAATCCGACGGATCCGATGGATCCACTGCCATGGGATCCACCGGATCCGCCATGGCTGGCATGGGCGCGAGGAGGATGCCGCCAGGAGGAGCTCGCCGATCGTTGTCGCCGGTGAGAGAGAGAGAGTGCGTGGGCACAGACAGCGAGTGGGCTTTGAGTGCGGGCGCTGAGTGTGGGAGGAAGGTGTGCGGGCACAGACATTGTGTGTGCGCAGGCATAATTAAGCATTTCCGTATATAAAAAGCTTGTGAAAGAGCTAGTGATCCTACAGCTTTTGATAGGGGGTGGCGGTTAGGATAGAAGAGAGCGAGGCGACGACATGGGCGCCTCTCTGGTGACCCGCGCTAGTGTCCTAGCCTTGTGAGCCACCTCCGTCGGCTCTGACCGTGGATGTGGAGGAGCTTATCGCCCGGCGGGACGTTTGGCGGGCGGCGAATATCTCATTAATTTCTATCTCTGCTTCGTCTTCATCTCCGAGTCGGTCATCCCATGTGGCGGCGACATTTGGGCCAATGTCTTAGAAGAAGGATGCACACCTTGGGGATCCTCCTCAGCGAGGATGTCTTCTAGGAAGATCCAGCACCGTTCCTCCTTACCTTCACGGTTTCGGAAGCAGGATTTCCCAAGCTTGGCGGATGCTGCCATGGTACCTTTGAAGAAGAAATATGTCCCTCCATTTGATAAGGATGGTCGAGGATTCAAGCTGGCAGCCAAGGAGAAGGATTTCCCCTTTGACAAGGTAGAGGATGACTCCCTTGCTCTAAAATTTGCTCCGATCAAATTCTACTGGTCGATGAAATGCAACAGGAGCTTGAATAGTTTGGACAGAGTTCAGAGCGCAAGGAATTCAGGAGTAGGGGGAGAAGGGCATTTCTAGAAGGAGAGGTGGTTTCGCTTACCTCCTAAGGTAAGAATTGTGCCTGGCATCCTAGGGCCACACCCTTCGGAGGTCACACGCGTCATTCATCAGAGAAGGGGTGAGGGAGAGGATGGAGATGACCTCGAGTCGAGGCACCTCACATTTGGATCTATAGCTTCTTCCCGAGTTAGAGAGGAGCATTTGAATCCCTCTAACCCTATGCCTAAAAAAATCCCCAATCCTTCTTCTGATCTTACACGCTCTGTTGGTCACCTATGGAGAGGAGCGCTGACCAAATCGTTTGGTGCGGTGGTCAGGATCGTGATGGCACCTACCATCACGGCTGTGATGCAGCCTCGAGGTGATGGGCGGCGAGGCAGCTTCGGGCTGAATCGTGCAGGATTTGGAGGCGGGGGACAAGGTGGTGGTTGGGGGAAGATGGGTCTAAAATAGAATTCTTGGAAGCACAAGGAGGAGATAATCTCCACTTAGAAGAAGGATAAGGCTAGGGGAAGCTGCTGGTGGGGAAGAGATGCAAGATCTGTCTCGAGTTGATGATAACTCTAAGTGGGAGGGCCATCAGGAAGCTCAGGAAGAGAAGCAGAATTTGTGGGGATCAAAGGGCACCAAGGATGGTGCTGGAGGACTCCAACAGGGGGGTAATGCTATCAATACTTTTGGATATTCTCATACCACTATCCCAGTCAGAAATCAACTTGTGAGTTATGTGGGTTGTTTAATCATAGCACCAAAGATTGTCGTAGA